AGAAGGGAGGTTACTTTGGAGATCACTTATTGAAAGACTCTAATATAGTTCTTGATTCATTTCTTTATTCAGTCATTGCACAATTCACTCACTATGTGACATAACATAGTAGGTGCTGGGGATTTAAATAAAAAGAGAGAAAAATCTAATCAAGGTCGCTGTGTATTCAGGCCCCATACCCTCTCCCTTGGGTGTGGCTATCACTGGAGGCTGTGGTCTTGTAAGAAGTCTAGAAAGAGGCAGATTCAGGTCTTGCAGGACTTAGTGTTTTATATTAAAAACACACTCAGTTCATAGAAGATAAAATTATGATCTCTGAGCATCAGTTTTCAATTGGAATAGAAGAATCCTGTTGGGGTGATGGGCCTTAAATGAGATGGTTGCTTAAAACCCAGCCTGAAGTAAGGTTCAGTTTGAGAGTTCCGCACATAATGTCTCCCTACCCTTCTCTTTATCATAGAAACTCATTTCCTGTTAGGCATTTCCTCAAAGAATAACTCTATGAGAAAAGGTGTGTGTGTGTACGTGTGATGGTCATTGGAGAAGAGTAGAACTTGGGACGTTAGAGTAAGGAAGGGACACAGCAGATAGGAGAAGAAGCCAGTATGCTTTCAGGCATCAGGATGCTTGCTGGAAAGTGACACATGAATAAGGTGGGGGTGGTGGTTTTGACTTGTGACCTGGCCCATGTGACCTGTCAGCTGTTGGGGGGAAACTGTGAGTACAGAAATTGGCAAAGACAGTATGTTCATGAGAAAGCTGCACTCTTCTCTAGTCTAATCAAGTCTTGACATTTGAATCTCAAACTAATTTGGGGGAAATAACTTTTCAGATTCTCATCATATAGTACTTGTTCGATATGAATAGGAATAATCACTTTGCCAAGTGATTAGCATGCTCAATAATAACTATAGACTTTCCTCCATTTTTTTAACTTTCAGATAAATGTCAAATACCTTCCTTAAGGTGCATTTAATTCCCTTTTTTCCTTCAGAAGCATTAACAAGTGAGAAAATGAGATGAAGGTGCAGGGGAGGGCAAGGCAATGAAGGGAACACTAAGGGGATGCCAGACGGACCTGGGAGAGTGTTCTCACTAGTGATTTTCACACACAACAAAGGAAAGTTAACACCAACCTCGTAGGAAGACTAGGAGCAAGTGGATGTGTTTTTCTTAGAGAGTTTGCCAGCCTGCTTCTGATAATCTATTGCAAGAGAGGGTCCTTCATGGTAACGCGACTTCATAGATTTCACAGCCTTGCCTGCAGAGACTCTTTGGCAACCTGGTTCTACCCGAAGTCCAGTTGAATGGGCCTCTCTTTACCTAGCAGAGCTCCAGTGTCTTCTATTCCTAAGTAAGTGTGCCAAACTTACCTCAGAATGCATGCCATGGGAATGTAAGAAGCCAGGCACCATAATTATCATCTATTGGGCCCTCCATCAAGGACATGAGCCTCCTTATTTTTTTTTAAGTGAATTTTAACCAGAATCAGCCTTAGATACCTGAGAAAACTCCTTAGACAGCTACAGGCAAGGAACCTGTCTTGCATTTTATAGGTCGATGCCCAAAGCTAATAGAGTCACTTAAAGAGAATCACACAGAGTGCTTGCGTATTATTTTAACCAGAATAGCAAACTCTGAATATTCCATACAATAGGCTCTAGTTGTCTAGCAAATCCCTACAAGGCCAGCTTAGATCCTCTGCAGCCAATTCAAAAGAAATAACTGCATTTGCATACATAACACAGTGGAACCTTTGTGACAGGTTCTTTCCTCAAAGCTACTTGCGAGTCATTAGCAAAATTGATATTAAACTTGCTACCCCCCAGAATCAGAGATCATTGTCAAAGAGGAAACAAAAGGTTTGTGGAGCCAGAAGGAGCAAAATTCTCCAGTGAATCAGTGTTTTTCAGACATGACAGTATATAAACTAATCATGGTTGAGGCTACATGCAAAAAAACTACACAAGATCAAGCTAGCCCAAAATCACAGTATGAATAAAGAATCAAATGAAGTTGCATCCCTAGCTATTGGTGACTGATGGCCTCTGGGAAAGGAAGATGCAGTTTTCTTCATGAATGTGTGCCCTGAGAGGTTACCCATGCTCCAGGAGATGATCCCATACACATGCTCATACAGGCAGTATGAAGTCGACACAGTGGATCTAAGAAAAAAGTCTGGCTGTGGGTCTCTGCATCTTCTGCTGAATGAAGCCTCTCTGATGATGATCATGCTAGCCTCTGGTCTGTGAGTATAGCAGAGTATCATTAGGAATCATTTCTTTGACTTTTTTGGTCAATATGTTTGGTTCTATCCTAGGTCTCTGGGCTATCCAGCTTTTGGCTCCTGGCTCTCCAGGCAGTGCAGGCATGGGGGCTCTCTCTCTGTGGCATGAGTTTCAAGCTGAATCAGTCATTGGTTGGCCGCTCCCACAAGTTCTGTGACTTCTTTACCCCAGTACATCTTGCAGGCAGGACAAATTATAGGTTGAATATTTTATAGCTGGGTTGGTGTCTCAGACTCTCCACTGGAAGCCATGTCTGGTTACAGGAGATGGCTGGTGCAGGCTCTGTATTCCCCTCAGTAGGAGTCTTAACTAGCGTCACCCTCGTAGATTCCCGGGAGTTTCCATTGCACTAGATTTCTACCTCACCCCTGAAATGTGGGGAATCCTGTGGAAGAGGGGGAGGAAGGATAGTAGGAGCCAGAGGGGGCAAGGATACCACAAGAAAACTTATAGAATCAATCAACTATGGCTCATAGAGGCTCACAGAAACTGAAGCAACAAACATGGACCCAACCCTGTACGGGTTTGAACTAGATTCTCTGCATATATCTTATGGTTGTGTAGCTTGGTGTTCTTGTGGGACTCCCAATAATGGGCATGGAGGGGTGTCTCTGACTCTTTTGCCTGCATTTGGGAACCCTGTCCTCCTACGGAATTACCTCATCCACCCTTAATATATATCATATCTTATTGTATCTTGTTAGGCCATGGTTGGTGGACAACTCTGGGAGGTCTGCCCTTTTCTGAAGGAAAATGGGGGAGGAGTAGATCTGGGAGAGAGGGAAGATGGGTGGGGGAGGGGCTGGGAGGACAAGAGGGAGGGGAAACTGTGGTCAGGATTTAATACATGAGAGAAGAATAAATTAAAAAAAAAAAAAAAACAGCAGCTGAGTAACTTCTTGTAACTTCCACCAAAGTTTACTGACAATCTTACTACTAAAGTGGTTGGAAAAAGGAAACCCAGTTTGGAATTCTAAGATGGAGGTGAAATAAAAGTGTTTGCATCAATGGCCAGAGCAAAAGAGAGCCGATCCCATTTCCCACTCCCATCCCCAGACCTTCACCACACCAGATTTTAATTGTTTCTTGAGAGAGATAATCCATAGCCCACTAGAAACATTTCTCCTAAGAAAGGAATTTATGCTTGCATTTCTCAGTAAAGAAGGGAAAGCTCCATAGTCAGGACTCGCAACAGTCTCCTCTTGTTTATCCAAGGCCTGTCTTTTGGGAAAGATGTAGCTAGAAGTGTGAGTCAGATTGAATGCCACATACATCTCCTTAGAACATAATGCTCTTGAATGTAGTGCAAGTTTCCACTCTCTGCTGTCAGGGGCTCCTGGGAAGGCTTGCTTCTTTGCATTTTGAGAGTTGCACATAAAATCTGGGTGATTTTTTTTTTCTGATTCTGATCTCTACACCCCATTGTGTACTTTAATCAGCCATGTTAAGCTGTGTAAATGAAGCCTTACGGCAATTCTAAGTCGACTCTTTTAGTGCCGTCATTCAGTGGATAAGACAGACAAATAAATGGTTGGCCTTCCTGAGTATGTACTTCTCGTCCAATCACTGCTCTGATTATTAACTCAGTGGATGTGGGAGTGCTCCCCAAGTATGGCCATAGAACCATGGAGCCCCAGGACATATCAGAAGACAGCATCCTAGTGGTTCAAGGGCCACAGTGCTCATTTATTGGGAGGTGCTGGTGCACTTAGGAAACTGCCACCCATTAGCAACCTCTGGTGTTTTTAACCATGGTGCACAACGTATAGTGCACATTATTTTAAAATATTGATAAGGACATTGGCTTATGTGACATATCTACTTAAGTATGAAGGATACATGTGTTTTTCCCCCTGATTTTCCTCCAGATTTAATTATTTGATGATTTTTTTTAAATTACTGATTGTATTTGAAACATTTGACTATTTCAAGATGCACCTATGTACTTTCTAGACGTAGTTCTGGCCCACATCTACACTCCTGAGTATAGCACTCTAGTACCCAAAGTAAGGCAATCCCAAATGTGTGTAGCTGTTGACACAAGTCCCTGGAACTAAAATCACTCAGCAGAGAGAACTGGGAAACAGTGCTTTATTTCTTACAGATTCTGAATTCTCTTTCTTGGGTGTCAGACCAAAGCCCTGAGAAACTCAATTATCACTGTTTGATTATTATTATGAACATGACTGACATCTTTCATCTGTGGAGGATGTTTTAATTGCCTGTTTGCACCTACATCCTTTGGAGAGGAAGGCAAAGCAGCTTACTGTCTATAACAAGAGCAGTACCTTCCTGGGCTGAGATTGCTCTGTCCCCTCTTCTACTGCACTTAGAATCCTGCAGCTTAGGCCACAGAGGTCTTGCTATGTTAAGTCGGCCACTGCACAAATTAAATGTGGCTTCATCTTCTCAGAAGATGTAAAGAACACAGACATTTGCATCACCTAGAGAATCTACCCTCTCCTCCCATCTGCTGGCAGGGTCCACTTACCACACAGCACATATGGAGCAGTACACACACATCACAACTGGCTCTGAACTAATTATACCTTTGGTTCCTTAAAAGGGGTCTGAAAATTACAGCATTTGGCTCGCCCTATAGTGTGGTGGCTGTACCAGGCCATACCAAGTGAAAACTCAAACCAAATGCCATTTTTTGAGAAAGATAAAATATATTTTTCCCGTCTTTTACCCCCTCCAAAGACCTCTTACCTGCTTAAGGATTTCAGCAGCCGTTTCGTGGGAACAATCAAATATCACATAAAACTCTTTGCCTTTCTTCATCTCCTTGAGCAGAGGTTTGGCATCTTTATTCCCAGAGGGCAGCTGGCGGATTTTGATTTTAATGTTGTATCTGGAAGGAGCTTTGATGAGCTCTTGCAGGCGAATTAGACCTGGAAAATGACATCCAATCATGCACCAGAGATGGATCTGTGTTGTTTATTGCCATTTACAGTCAAGGCAGAACATTCCCAAAATGTATCAAGTGGCCACCAACATAAAGGTTACACTATTGACTTCCTATTTATCATCCCCCCTTATCTGGTAGATTGCACTGATATTTTCCATTTGTGGGTCGGTGTGGCTGGGAAGCACAATTTCCCCAAGTGCATTTTGAATTTATTGAGCATGCACTTGTCCTTTCAACCTTTCAGCCAACACTACATGTCTTTAACATATCAAGTCTATGACTATGAAACTTCAACAAACAATAGCTTGCTTGAAGTTTCTAGAGGTACTCAACAAAATAGCACCTGTTACCATTTTTAGAAACATATTTTCAAAAATTTATTCTTGTGAATATGTGTTTGAGTGTGCATTAATGTGCACATATATGTACCTCTGCTAGTAGCCAGAAGCAGGCATCAGATCCCCTGGATCTGGAATTACTGGCAGTTGTGAGCTGACTGATGTGAATGCTGGGAAATGAATTCTGGTCCTCTGCAAGCTCTTAAGCGCTGAGCCCTCTTTCCAGTCCCTATATCTGCTATCTTTTAAAAGCTCAAGGAATACAAGGATTTCTTGGGGTTGCTAACTTATGTAAACTTATCATCAAATATTCATTTGTAGTATGTCGTTTACCAGCTAATTAGTCAGCTTGCTTTGTATAATCTTTTGATGCTTACTCAGTAAACTATTTACAAATGGCTCATTATCTCTCTTGCTAATATGGTAGAGAGTTGTGTTGGTTAAGTCCTTGTTTGATTAAAATGTACTATAGGATTTGGGGTGAGTATGATAGTGGAAGCAGAAATGTCATTTAAAATATAACTGCTGGCAGTTGTAGCGAAGTGTATGCAGCAGCCTAAATTGATGAAACATTTGCTTTACCACAGGTCTGGATTCACCCAAGTTGCACTTTTCCCTAATAGTAGTTCATTACTAGGCAAGGTGTGTACAGCCATAGAAAAGCTCTATCTCATAACCCTGATGTTAACTGGTGTTTGCTAGACTGCATGATGTTGCCTCTCTCTCTCTCTCTCTCTCTCTCTCTCTCTCTCTCAAGGACTCCTATCACATTGGAAAATTGACTTTAAAAAAAAAAGTCTGCAGTGCAGTGCCTTCAGGATTTGTTAGCCAGAAGTAATCAACAGAGAATATTAAACTTTATGAGTGTTCAGATGGAAATTGTATGGAAATTGTGCTATGCATGGTACAGGATGGCACATGGATTTCAGCCCCTTCCAGAAGTGAGACATTTGCTTCTTTCTCTGTTATTTTTTATTGTCCTCCCCTCAATAGTCCCATTTATTTCAGCTGACATTGGAAAGGCTTCTCCAATACAGGAGATAGGTTTGATTCTGAAGTGTGGCCAGGTTTTCATGACACTATTTTCAGAGTTACATTGAGTGGAGATGAGAGGAACTGTTGCAGAACCATGTTAGGAGTTAGTACATTTCCCACCCACCCCTTTTCCTCTTTTCATAAAAATCAAAATTAGAACAACATCCTTCCTGGGCTCTCACTCCTTTTCAAATCAGTGATGAACCAAAAACTGAAACACTCCTTTTTTTTTTCTTACCAAGTTTCTTTTTCTGAATCACCAAACACTAAGAATGAGGTTGGGATGGATCCCATCCCCCTGCCTAGGGGCCCCCAAACAATTCAAGCTAAACAACTGTCTCCCATATCCAGAGGACCTAGACTAGTCCTGTGGGGGCTCCACAGCTGTTACATGGGCGGGATTTTTGGAGCCCAGTGCCTAGAGTGTGACACCTTGCACAGCCTTGGTGCAGGGGGAGGGTCTTGGACCTGCCTCAGCTGAGTATGCCAGGTGGGAGACCTTGACTTGGGAAATGTGAAAATGGGGGATGGGTTGGGGGGAAGGCTTGGGGGTGGGAAGAGGGAAGAGGGGGGGATTTGTGGTTGGTATGTAAAAGTGAATAGCAAATTTCTTAATAATAAAAATATATTAAAAAAAGAATGAGGTTGGGGTGGAGCAGGCACTTATATATTTGTTATTCCTTTTATTAGTTAAACCTCATCATGGCACTATGAAGCAAGTTACCACGTTTATTATCTCAGATACAGGAACCAAGGCCCAGAGCAATTAAATAACTTACTCGGGGCTATAGGGATAGCTAGCAGGAACCATAGATTAAGATTATTTGTGAGTCTAATGCTCCATCTTTCCATGTCCCTGCCCTGCCTTACAAATACAGGCTATTGTTGCTGAGGGAACACTAAAGCTTAAATTGGTTTGATGATAAGGAAAAACAGAACCAGAAACTGATTTTCCTCTCTTTCCTTCTTCAGGCTTCATGCTCTGCTATCATTTTTTTTCTTCTTTTTTAGCATGAGCATGACCACCTTGGAGAGCTCAATATGGCCTTTAAATGAAATGGGGAAAACATTTTAAACGAACATTTTATATGCTGCGAAGAGCTGCTCCTTTGTTCTTTGCTGAATGGAATGTCAGCCTTGAAGTGCATCTTCCTAGCCAGGACCCTGTTGGCATTTAAAGTCGACAGGCACCAGTTCCCCCTTCATTCCTTCACATTCACATTCAAGAGGACATGTTTCCTGGATGCTCATTAGATCCTAAGCCTGTGCTGAACTCTGCAAGGCTTTTAAAGCTTAGAGGAGATTTTCATACTAGAAAGTATCCGCAGGTGGATGGAGTACCAATTGCCACTTGATTTCATACATAGAAAGCTGGCTGGACTTACTACAGGCTAGAGTAACTTGCTGGAGGTGACAGTCACGTAGCAGGTTCAGGGCTTAAAGCCAAGTCTGCCTTCTGACTCCCCAGTAGGGTCCTTTCTCTTGAATCAGGGACCCTGTCTGACTTTCATGTTTTGGAACAACTGATTGAACAAATGGCTCAACTAACTGACTTCTATGTCAGCAAACAGAAAAAGCAGATTCTGGACCAGCATCAGACCTTGGCTTGGCTTGCAGTGACCATCCACTTTCACAATAGTTTCAGAAAAGAAAGATTTTCATGTCAAGAGAAGAGCAGTAAGTCAATATAGAGGGTCAGTTTCTAATTGGGATAATTTTGTCGTTATAAAAAAACTTATCACTAAGCTTGTAAATGAAAAAACTCATTCCTGGGTCTGTAGGTGAATTGGCTTGGGGGAAAGGAGAGATCTGCAGACTGAAAGATTACAGACCCAAGGTGTGAGAAGGGCAGAGACTTTGCATCTGTCTTCGTGAAGTAACCTCAAGTCAAGTCTTTCTGCCCTCATGAACAAATGATGCAGAATTTACAATTTAAAGAGCTTTCTCCCTTCACAGGAGAGAAAATTAACTGAACTCTTTCCTTTATATTTGCATTTTGCAGCAATCCATCAATCATTTCATGTTTCATTGTAATGACTAGTTAAAAAATTATTTGTTAAACAAATAATGACTTTAGGGAAAGGAAACAGATTTAAGAGCAGCCCCCAGCTTTGTGACATCCTCGTTTGGATGCCTGCCCTGATCAGGTGACAGAGCCCTGCCAAGATTTCTGTTACAGGCAATGCCAATGGTGCATGTTAAACTAGGAATTTGGTGGGTTTTCTAGCCCGTCAAGGTAGAAGCATTTTAGATTCAAATGTAGATCAGGAATGGACCAGACAGATCCAAGTGAGTGACATTATATAAAACTCTGATCTCATCTTGACTCTCCGTAAATATCAATGGACCAAAGGAGACCAAAGAGATGTCACAATGAAATACAATGAATGCTGCTGGGGCAATTAGGGAAAAGAGAATTATCCATGAATGTGGTTGCTTGACAGTATTCTATCATTGCTAAGCTTCCTGCATTGGATGGATTGTAGTGTGGCTGTAATGAGAGTTAGTTTTTAAAGTAGGCACAACAATGTATTAGTGAGCAAAAATGTCAGAATATCTACAATTTACTTTCCAGTGGTTCTATGGAGCTTATAGTTATTATTACTCATACTTTTTTTTTCATGCTGCTTAAAATTGAACCCAGAGCTTTGATCTCTACACATTGAAACTTTGAGACAAAGTATAGTATACTATATAGCCCAGGATGACTTGGGGCTTCTTATCTTCCTGCCCCAGCCTGCCAAGCAAGGTTTATGGGTCTGCACCACCACGCCCTATTTGTAGTTATTTCTATGTTGAAAGAATTGGGGAAGATTAAAATGAATTTGGTTAGTTAAAAATGGCTGCTGTATCTGGATGAAGGCATGGGTGTACAAGTTTATTGTACACCTCTTAAAACTGTTCTCTAAGTTCAAAGACAAAACTCATGGCTATGAAGCAGTATCATGAGTGTCTCTTCTTATCCACACCCCTAGGCATGCAATTAGAAACTTAAAATTATGAAAGTGCTTTAGAGTAAAGCCAGTTTGTTTCACGTGAATGTGAGCTAGGCTGCATATAGAGATAACATTTCAAAAGTCTACGTGGCCGATTCGAAACGCTTTGGCTGTCTGCCCTGTGTATTCAAATACGACACAGAAAAATGCTGATCTGCATGTGTACTAAGGAGCTGTGGCATGAGGTAGAGCATATGGGAGAGGAGCAAAACTTCCTTCTATTTCCAGTACGTGTGTAAAAATGCTCTGTGTCTTCTTTAGTAATAACAAACCGTGCTATTTACACTGCCTCTCTTTCACAGTGTGCTGCTTGCCTTATGAATAGCTCCTAAAGCTAGAATATTCTTTGGAAGCGTACAGGTGCTGGAGCTATTTCATGGAGAGGAAAGTGAGGCACAGTGAGGTTAATTGTCTAGACCAGCCCTGAGAATGAGTCACAGACACCAGGAATTGGAAGGGACTTTAAAGGTCAAAGCCTGACTTGATGCAGGAATCCCCTCATATTGCCGCTGAACGCCTCTCGGTGTGAGAGATTCTCTCCTATACACCGCAGTCCAATCTACTCCCGGGCAGCTTTCATTCTATTTAATGAGTCTCAGTTCAAAAGGAAAGTG